AGGGTTTTGTCATAGTCTACTCTATCGTGATGGCTCCTCTCCCTCTCTCTCCCTTCTATTGGTTCCCTCAGCAGCAACAGCAGCAGCAGCAGCAGCAGCAGCAACAGCATGCATGCACGCATGCATGCATGCTGTTGCTGCATCCTTTTATTCTTTTTTTTTTTTTTTTTCTTACTAGTTGCATTAGGGTCATTAGGTAATCCTTGTTTGAGCCATTCTTTGAGGGTTTTAGCATTGAGCATTGTTTCTGCTGTTGTGAATGTTTTGCTTATAATAACAATTAGGGTTTTGCTAGGGTTTAGACCCTCAGTACAACGAGCCACGTCAATAGGGTCTACATTAGCTAAGAAACTAAGAAAAAAAAAAAAAATAAATATATAAATATATAAATAAATATACATAAATAAATATATAAATTTATTTATTTATTTATTTACTTATAATTTATTTTATAATATATAATAATTTTCTATTTTTAAACTTTTTACAAAAAATTCAATTCCTAAACCCTAAACCCTAAACCCTAAACCCTAAACCCTAAACCCTTACCGAATAGTTCTTCCTTCTGCTTTTGTTTTTGCGTATTTTTCTGTGTTAAGACTTTCTACAACAAATTCACTACCTAAATAACTTCCTCCTATACCTATACAAATTAAATTTGTTAGGGTTTCTCCTGTTGCACCCTTTAATGTACCTGAAGAAAAAAAAAATACACAAACCCTAAACCCTAAACCCTAAACCCCAGAAAACCCTAATAAACCCTAAACCCTAGATAATGGCACCCGCACACTCATAATACAAGAAACACCTCTGGGCATCATAGAGCAAGATTTGGAGGCACGTCTCTATACTCCTTCAAACCCTAAACCCTAAACCCTAAACCCTTATAAACCCTAATAAACCCTAATAAACCCTTATAAACCCTAATAAACCCTAATAAACCCTAAACCCTAAACCCTACCATTTCTGATTTTTTCGGAGAAAGTCTTGATTTTATCAAGGACTGCATGCACCTCCTCAACAACATTTTTGCCATCAACAATTAGGGTTTGTCCTTTAGGCATTCTTAATGCAACATGCAAAACACTTCTTCCTTCTGTAGTGTTTATCTTCTCCCCCCTAAACATTGCCTTTATCTTCTCCTCAACCTATATATATACATATATAAACCCTAAACCCTAAACCCTAAACCCTAAACCCTTGATAAGATCCGGGTGAGTGTTGATGGCACACGCAGAACATCTATATACGATAACTTATGATGTGTAGTAAGATGTAAACCCTAAATTAGGGTTTAGGGTTTAGGGTTTAGGGTTTACATACATTCCGTTCCTTTGCCAACTCAACCAATGCATCTAAACCCTCCTTATCAAGAAGTTGTCTGCTAAAGTCCATGCAGACACCTGAGCACAAACCCTAAACCCTAATAAACCCTAATATAAACCCTTATATAAACCCTTATATAAACCCTTATATAAACCCTAAACCCTCGCTATATAAGTCGTGAGTAATCTGTCTGTGAGTTATAAAAAACAGCAAAAGAAAATAAAATATCTCTTATGTCTTATGTATCCCAATAAAGTCTAAACACTAAATAATTAGGGTTTAGGGTTTAGGGTTTAGGGTTTAGGGTTTAGGGTTTATATATATATATATATACCACCATATTCTCTATACATGCGAGCATTACGCTCATCATCCTGCATCAGCTCCCTTAGGTTATTTTTTAGTCCCTTTTGCTGCTGCAGCAGCGCGACGGATTTAGTAGCAAGGAACTCGGAAGACATCTTGATAAACCCTAAACCCTAAACCCTAAACCCTAATTCGTATATAGAAGAACAATTATACACGTAGCTACGCTGTGGGAGGTACAAAGAAAGATAAATAAATTATAATAAGAAGAAAAAAAACAAATATTTACATCTAAATATTCTTGCTGCTCCTCCTGCTGCTCCCGCTGCTGCTGCTGCTGCTGCTGCTGATACTGCTCCGCCTCCAGCAGCAGCAGCAGCAGCAGCAGCAGCAGCAGCAGCAGCAGATGTGTGTTGCCTTGCACCGCCGCATAGCCCCGCTGCTGCACACAGACTTCTTCAGGTGTACATACACCTGAATACTCTTTTTTAATTATTTAATTAATTATATTAATATTATATTATATTCTTTATTTACTTTTATTTATTTACTTATTTCCTTCTTTTCAGGTGTATATGCAGCAGCAGCTGCTGCAGCTGCAGCTGCTGCTGCTGCTGCCGCCACCCCGCTCTCTATGGTGTGTGTATATAGTGTCACCTAAGACAGCAAAACAAATAAAAAAAATGAATAAAAAGAATAAAAATAAATAAAAATAAATATATTATTTATTTATTTATTTATTTATTATTTATTTATTTATTTATTTATTTATTATTTTATTTAATTTATTGGCGATGCATGCAGCAGCAAATGCGGTGTATGCATACACCTCAATATACACCGCAACAATAAAAAAAAAAATAAAAAAAAATGTTTATTTTTTATTTATTTATTTATTTAATTATTTAATTAATAAATATAATTATTTATTTATTAAGGAGAGACATATAAATATAAATATATATTTGTATGGATCTTTTTATATATACAAATATATATAATAATGTAAATATATATGTATGTATATATACACATTTGTATTAATATATAAATATGTACATGTATACGTATTTATATACATATATAAATATATATAAAATATATAGATGTATATATATGTATATATATGTACATATATATGTATAAATATATGTACTAATATGTATAAATATACATATGTGTATATCTGTATACGTACGTATATGTATATGTATATATTATATATGTATATATGTATATATTTACGTATATATATACATATATATACGTATATATACGTAATGTACATGTATGGATCCGTAGGCAGTACCAAGTACTGCATGAATTCTTTACTTATTTATTTATTTACTTATTAATTTATTAATTAATTAATTAATTAATTAATTAATTTATTTATTTATTTATTTATTTATAAAGGAGACACTTAATAAATAGACAGCTCTCCTTGGGGTGTATATTTGTCTCCTTCATTGGGGTGTCTGTCTCCTTTTTATTTATATACACAAGATTAACATAAATAAATAAATAAATAAATAAATAAATAAATAAATAAATAAATAATTCCCTGTAAGGAAGTACAAAAAAGGAGACAAAAATAATAAAAAGGAGACAAAGAAAGAGACAAAAGGAGACAAAAAGGGAATAAAAGGAGACAAAAAGAAGAAAAAAAATAAATAATTTATATAAACCCTAAACCCTTTTAGGGTTTATATCTACCTGTCTCCTTATTTGTCTCCTTTGTTGCCATTGTCTTCTTTTTGTGTCTCCGTGCTGCTCTAACCCCCCCAACCCTAAACCCTAAACCCTAAACCCTAAACCCTAGGTGTTACTAATGGGTCTGTAGTTGTTGTTAGGGAGAGACAAGAGAAAAGGAGACACCTGTTTATGTATAAAAAGATCCTTCTTGTTGCTGCTACTGCTGCTGCTGCTGCTGAGGAAGCAGCAGCAGCAGCAGAGAAGAATAAAAATTATTTTCTTTATTCCTTTGCGTACAACTGCATGCAATGTATGCATATGTATATATGTATATATTTGTACATATACAGATAAATATATAAACATAAATATATCTAATATATATATATACATATATATATATATATATA